AGCCTAATATTTGCTATAATTATTGTAATATTTTGAATAGGCATGGATTTAATTTTAATCCAAACAATTGGTATCAAGATTCAGCTTTTAAAAATAACATTTTCACTTTCAATAATAATAATATATACGTATTTTTGCGGCAAAATTATTCACTTTGTGGACCTTCAATCTCATTCTCCCTTTAGCTAAAGCAATGTGGTCCCCACACGAATCAATTATTGACCTATCTCTCTTCATTATTGTCTCGACTCTCGACCAAGGCACTTGCTCCTCCCAATTTAGTTGCCATTTATCAGAAAATTTTTGATAAAATTATGCATACAGTTAAATTTTAATAAATGCACTTTATAATTAATGTGAGCAATAAAGATTCATCATTTAAACAAGTAGTTAAGAATTTAAATTTCAAACCTTATATATATATATATATGTAATAATTTAATTTAAAATGTTTACTCATTGTTCTTAATATCTCAAAGAGATATTTTTTAATGTTGGTAAAGCCTATTTCTTATAAAGTGGAAGAGATGTTGATGAGCAAGAAATTAAGGAGGCAATCTTTAGTATGGGAGCTCTTAAGGTGTCGGGTTCAAATGAATTCAATGCCCTCTTCTTCCAAAACCAGTGGAATACTGTTGGTCAGTCTGTGGTTAGGCAAATTTAATATTTATTTGCTAATCCTGATGATATCAGATCTGTGAATGGTACTTTGATTGTTTTGATTCCTAAGAAGGAGCTACTGGAAACTTTAAAGGATCTTAGACCTAGAGTCAGTAATTTGGGCCAAGCCCGATGGGCCAACCCGAACCTGCCTGAAAATTTTAGGGTCAAGCTCGAATAAAAAATATTTTTTTATTGTTTGGGCTTATCCGGGCAGCCCGAATACCGGCATTAATTTTTTTTTGCATTTCTTTTCTTACTTTCTCAATGCTCTGCCTCTGCTTACTGCTGATCTGCTCACGCCTCACGAAGTCAGTCAAGTCACGCCTCACCTCACTGCCTCAGTCTCACAGTCACTGACTCAACCTCACCGGCCACCACCCTCACACGCACGCGAGAAAGTTGAAAAGAGAAGAATGCTCTAGTCTCTCGAGCACTCGCTCAGCCACTCAGCCACTCAGCACACTGCCGCACTCACATCGTAGGTCACCTTGTTGTTAGCCGCGCACACTGCACACACACGGAGAAGACGCAGACGAGAGAAGACGCATACACTCGGAGAAGACGCAGATCCGTCAATCGTGACTCGTGAGTCTGTGATTGTCCTCCTTTAATCTCAGACGAATCATCTCATCCTCCACTCCAGTGAGTCTGCTCTTCTCTCGGCGTGTCCAGATCTCTGATCTCCTTCTCCTCGCCTCGCATTGTTGCAGTCTCAAATCTATTTGCCTCGCAGTCTCGTAGATCTACTCACCTTGCCATCACCCTCCTTTCCATCTCATTCTGGTTCTGTACTCTGCAAAAATATTTCACCCTCATCACCGGAAACCATCCCTGGGAGCACAGGTGAGCTTTCATCCTCTGATTTTTCAAGTTTTCCTATTTTGTTTCTTCCTATTTATGTCATATATTCGACTCATTTAGATGGGAAAGTGGATGATGTGGCTGTTTGGCTGAATGAGTTATCTCTCTATGTGTGAATGATTTAGATTGAATTTACTCTGATCCGTAAGGTGATTTAGACTAAGTACAAGTGGTTTTCTGTTCTGTTTTTATACATGTCCAGACAATTTGAATTTGCATGAAGCTATTTAGGAACAGATCTTGTATTGAAAGAAAATCTTGTTATGTATTATTTGGTGATCATTATACTCACTTAGCTAAGTAGTCACGGTTGAGAGGGGCATGGGTTTCTTTTTTCTTTTTAGTGGTGGTTAATTGATTTTATTTAATTGTCTTTTATGTCTCATTATTTGCAGTAAACAATGTCTTCTAGTCAAAAGAAATATATTAAAATTGGTGGTTCTGCTAGCAATAAAAATGTGGGTGCTAGTGGTAGTAAGGTGGATGATAATTTGCATGCTAGTAAGGTGGGTAATGTTGCTGAACAAGGAGAAAAATCTATTTGTTCTGGTAAAAGAATAACTTCTGAATAAGGAGGGAAGCTTTCTGGAAGTAAAAGAGTCAAAACTTGCACGTCTGATGTTTGGAAATTTTTTTCCAAAGTTATAATTGATGGAAAAACAAAGGCTAGATGTAATGGTTGTAATAAAGATCTAGCAGGATTTAGAGCTGATGGCACATCTCATCTAGCATGGCATGCTAAGAATTGTCTATAACTAGCAAAGTATCATGATGTTGGGTTAATGTTGATGGATAAAGAAGGAAAATTAAGGTCTAGGAAACTTGATGAAAAGGAGGCATGGCATTCTTTGTCTATGATGATAATTGAACATGATTTGCCTTATTCTATTGTTGAATATAAATGGTTTAGACATTATTCTACTGTCTTGAATCCTAGCGTGAAGTGCATTACTAGAAAAATAGCAGTAAGTGATGTCATGAAAGTATATCATGGGCATAAAGAAACCTTGAAACAAAAATTGTTAAATAGTGTTGGAAGAATTTCTTTGACATCTGATTGTTGGACAACTGTAACCTCTAAAGGTTATTTATGTTTGACTGCTCATTTTGTTGATGAAAATTAGATGTTGAATAGTAAAATACTTTTTTTTGTCACATGGAACCTCCACATTCTGGAGTAGAATTGGCTAGAAAAGTATATGATTGTTTGGTGGAGTGGGGGATAAATAAGAAAGTATTTTCTATTACTTTAGACATGCCTCTGCAAATGATAATATGCAGGAGAAATTGAAAGAGAGGCTAGCTTTGCAAGATAGTGCAAGCTTGATTTGTGAAGGGGAGTTTTTTCATATAAGGTGTCGTGCCCAAATCTTAAACCTGATAGTTCAAGAGGGTTTGAAAGTGATAAGTACCACTTTAAACAAGATTAGGGACAGCATTAAGTATGTAAGAGGATCAGAGGCAAGAATGATTGCTTTCAAGCAATGTGTTGAAGAAGTTGGTGGAATTGATTATTCAATGGGCTTGCGAATGGACGTGCCCACTAGATGGAATTCAACTTTTGCAATGCTTGAAAGTGCATTAAAATATCATCGTGCTTTTACCAGCTTATCTTGTCATGATACAAGTTTCACATCTTGCCCAACACATGAAGAGTGGAGGAGAGGAGAAGAGATGTGCAATTTCTTGAGGCCATTTGATGTTATGACAAGGTTGATGTCTGGGTCATCTTATCCTACTTCAAATTTGTATTTCTCTCAAGTGTCAAAGATTCGACTCTTGTTAGATGAAAATATATTCAATGGTGACCTTGTGATTTGTGAAATGGCCAAAAGAATGAAAGAAAAGTTTGATAAGTATTGGAATGATTATAGCAATATCCTTGCAATTGCAGCTGTGCTTGATCCACGAATGAAGCTTCAAATGATACAGTATATGTATGCCAAAATTGCTCCTATAAGTTGCCATACGAGGATTGGGAATATTCAAAGCAAATTGAAATATATTTTTAATCAGTATAAAGAGATGACTTCTATTTCTGATGTTAGGGTTGGATCAAGTTTAACAATGCCAACACATGGGTATCAAGCTCAATCCTCCATTACTTCTAATGCTTCAACAAAAACAAGTAATATTCAAGGAATTTTAGATGTAAGTTTTTTTTTATATTTTTAATCTTATTTTAATTTTTTTAAGACATATGTTACTTCAAATGTTTGCATAATGCAAGATTGGATTAGTTATATAAGTATGGATTTTATGTCTGTTGGCAAGTCTGAGCTTGAATTTTATCTAGATGAAGTAATACTTCAGCCTCATGTATATCAAGAGTTGGATGTCCTTAATTGGTGGAATACTAATAAAGGTAGATTTCCAATTCTTTCGAAGATGGCAGCTAATATACTTAGCATTCTAATCATTATAGTGCCAAGTGAGTCTGCATTCAGCATTGGTTCACGTGTTCTTACAAAAACCGGAGCACTCTTCTTCCTGATAATTTTCAAGCTCTGATTTGCACCCGTAATTGGTTGCGTGGCTTTCAAGATGATGGTAATATGTGATTATTTTCATATATTTTTTTTATTTCTTGATTAGAAGCAAATTTTACTAAATTATATTACAAAACTTGTTCATTTATTACAGATAATGAAATAGTGATTGAAAATGAGAGGAAATCATCTGAAGAATTTTCACCAGTTGATATGCTCACTGAGAGTTCAAATGCAGCTTCGGATGATAATGATAATGTCAATCAAGAGAGTCAAGAGGAATAGGGAATTAAAGAAAATTGACAGCATAATGTTTTGACTTTTGAGCATGATATTTTGAACTTTATTGTGAAATTTTCATCTTTTTTGTGAAGGAATTATGCAATTATGTATTATTAAACTTTGATTTTTAAGTTATTTGAACCTTTATAAGCTTTATTGGTACTTCATAGCATGCCTTTGTTGTTAAATTAAGCAATTAACTTTTCAAATTTTATTATTATTAATATTAATGTATTTTAATAATTTTTTTACATGTATTTTACTAATCTAAAATGTGTTGTTATGTTTATATTATTTGAGAAAAAAAATAGCTTTTAAATTACAAATTAAAATTAGTTCAAAAAAGGCAAAAAAAAAAATTTTTTAAGTTCCGGGTATTCGGGCCAGCCCGAATAAGCCCAAAGCCAGAAGACGTTAGGGTCGAGCTTGACTATATGGGCTTTTTTTAAAGGGTACGATATTTAAAGCCTGATCCAAATAAGTCCAGCCCGAATTGAGCCAGGCTCGCCTGAATTACCGGCTCTACTTAGACCTATTAGCTTATGTAATGTCATCTATAAGGTGATAACAAAGGTGTTGGCTAATAGGATTAAGGGTTTCCTTCCTTATGTTATCTCTCCTAATTAGTGTAGCTTTGTGCCAGGAAGACATAGTGCAGATAATATTATTGTTGCTTAGGAGGTTATTCACTCCATGAGACGCATGATGGGGAAGAAAGGATTCATGATAATTAAGATTGATCTTGAAAAGGCAGATGATTGTGTTAGGTGGGATTTTCTGACTAAATGTTTGCAGGAGATGGCATTGCCTCAAAATATGATTGATATCATTATCAATTGTGTCTCTTCTATAAGTATGTAGCTCTTATGGAATGGCGATAAAGCTGAATGCTTTTCTACATCTTGACGAGTGAGACAAGGAGATCCTATTTCTCTCTATCTCTATCTCTGTTATCTATATGGAAAAGTTGGCTCATCTAATCTAGGCAAAAATGGATGAAGGGAAATGGGAACCAATACGATTGAACAAGAGGGGACCGCCTATATCTCACTTATTCTTTACTGATGATATTATTATTTTTGCAAAGGCTACATTAGTATAGGCTGAAATGATTCGAGAGACTATTGACAACTTTTGAAAAAGCTCGGGATTGAAGGTAAATTCTGTTAAAACATGAATGTTCTTTTCTAATAATGTGACCCCAAATAAATGTAAGGAGCTTAGTAATTTGCTTGGTTTTGCTCAAACTGAAGATTTGGGTAAATATTTGGGTGTTGCTCTCCATCATAAAAGAGTAGACAAGACTATGTTTCAGGAGATTGTGGATAAGGTCACAGCTCAGTTGTCTAGTTGGAAAGCTAACTTGCTATCTCTAGGGGGTAGAACCACCTTAATTTCTTCTATTACTTTTGCAATACTTGGATGTATTATGCAAGTAGCTCATTTGCCTGCCAGTATGTGTGAAGTGCTTGATAAACATAATCGAACCTTTTTATGGGGCAAAACGGGGGATAGGGGGAAGGTATCTCTTGTTGCACGGATAAGGTGTGTAAGCCAAAGAAGTCGGGTGGACTAGGATTGAGACATGCTAGACTTCAAAATCAGTCTCTTTTCATAAAGTTAGGATGGAGTCTGGTAAAGAAAAAGGACGAGTTTTGGGTCAGAGTTATCCGAAGCAAATACAAGTGTGGAGATGATTTAATTCTTAAAATTTACGTAAAGCGGCCAGGATCAAATATATGGTCAACTATTGAGGCAATGTGGGAGACGGTGAAGACAGGGCTTGAGGATACAGGGTCAGGTAATATTTGATGGAAATGGGATCGAAGTGGTATGTTTACTGTCAAGTCTCCTTATGACTGGCTCTGCCGTTTTGGTTCGAATCATGATCGAATATGGAAGAATATATGGAAAAAAAGGTGTCCCGCAATGATGCAGAACCTTCTTGTGGTAAGCCTCTTAAAGAAGACTTCTTACCAATGTTTTTAGATGTAAGCGTGGGATGAGTTTAAGTAACATATGCCCAAGTTGACACATGGAATCTGCAACCTTACTCCATGTGCTTGTGATTGTCATCAAATTGAATTGTTGTGGATGAGTATGATCCATCCATCAGTTTGGAGACAATTTAAAGATATGGAGCTCATAGAATGGTTACGGTGGAATATCTCTAACCAACATGGGTTGGGGGGCAAGTGGAGTGCTCTTTGGTGTGATTAGTTGGTGGATCTAGAAGAGACAGAACCTCTTTGTATTTGAATAGAAAAAAGTCAGCAATGAGACAATTATTGGAAGTTCCCATGCAATGATGAGGTGCATGAGGGAAGCCCAAAATACCTTACTATGCAATACAAATGATATGCTACCTAGAACAAAGGAAGATATGAGATAGGTAGCACTAAGGAACGGATGGGTTAAGGTAAATGTAGATGGTGCATATGCTCATACTTCACAGGCCGGTGCATGCGATCTATCAGAGGATCTGATGGGAACTTCATTATTGGCTTCATTCACAGACTGGATGGAAGAGATAACCTGACTGCCGAGCTATGGGCTTGTGTACATGGGTTAAAGACTACTTGGGATACGGTCTATCAGCATGTTATTCTAGAATCTGACTCTTAATTTCATTACTGGACATGGAAATTAATGAAAATCATTTAGAGGCTGGCATAATCGCTAAGGCTAAAACTCTAATAGCTCGTGATTGGGAAGTTGTTACGAGGCATGTGCATAGGGAGGCAAACTGAGCAGCGGATCTCTTGGCCAAGAAAGGATTATCTATTATGCATGGTTTCTATCATATCAGTACTGCACCAAATGAGCTGCAGAACATACTGATAAGAGATAGAGAAAGAAGGAGGGATAAGATAGGCTAACTTGCCCATGGTTTCGCTTTATCTATAAAAAAAAAAGCCTATTTCTTATACTTAAAAAATAAACTGTGTCACAGAATATATTGAATGAAACCTTACCACTTTAACTTACGTAGTTATATTTTGCATAATTAATTTGAGAACCTAGACAACCTTTAAAAAGAAAACCATGAAGGACTGAGATCATGGGTTCATAGGAACTCACAGCAAAATAAAAGTCAATTACAGAATTACCGCACTGCAACAATAGTTAACCGATTCCGGACTGTCTAGGCTAGTGGTTTCTTTTGAAAAGGCCCCTTAGAGTAAAAACTGGACGCCCAAAACATCAGTCTGGCAACAAGAAAAAACAAAAGAGAGATAAATAGAGAAACAACAAACATATTAATAACCGATGGGCTATCGGTAGTTGGAAAGTACTACAATCGGCATTCTCAAAGGTGAATGTTCGAAACTTGAAAAGTAACAGACGTGATAATTAACATGGCCTCAAAGAGATCGTCCTATTGGTACCCCATTATCATCGTAAGGTCTTCTCTCAAGGGATCTGGATTAGTCTGGGACGGATAATGAATTTAAAATACTTCAGGATACCGATTGATTTATATTAAAGAAAAGAAAAATATATCAATATATTATCTTTTTATATATTAAAAAAAAAAGTTATCTTGGAAGAAAGTCATGGCCCTCCAACATCATGTCGAGCACACATCAAGTAAATTGAATTCTTTTGGTCTCATGAAAAATAGACTTGATTTTCAGTTTTGTTATTATTTAAAACAAATACTCAACATTTCTATATATAATTACTAAACTCACATTATTCTATATAGTTAAAAAATGAAAAAATATTTTTTAAACTTCAAATATCCTACTTTTTGAATGAAATATCCTGTAGAAAATGGTTTTCATAACAAAAGGCAGTATTATTTGAAAGAATGACAGTATTAATTAAAAATATTATATATACATGATGGAGGGAGTATTAATTACAACATCCTTTGTCATCCCATGTCATGTCATTTTAATTTCCACACAGGCTTTTAATTAAGGAAGAATGACATTTAAAGTCTTAATAAAAGTTTATAAATTTTATTGAATATAATCTCCTAAAAATATATTGTTGTTAAGTTTTGATTTTCAACAATAATATTTAGCTTTTAATAATAAAATATTTGTATGGCCTTCAGTCTCGTTCTCCCATTATTATCTAAAGCAAGGTGGTCCCCACACGGATCAATTATTGTCCCCTCTCTCTTCATTATTGTCTCGACTGTCGACCAAGGTGCTCCCTCGTCTCAATTTAGTTGCCACTTATAAGAAAATTTTTTATGAAATTATGCATACGAGTAATTATTTTTTAAGGTAATTTTTTCCACAGGGGTCACATTAAAATTAATTGAAACCAAGTTCTTTGAATTATTACATTTGGCTGTTCTTAATTATCATTTAAGTATTTCAAAAATATTTTTTGTCATTCTCACTAAAGATTAATTGGATCTTTCCATTCTCATGTTGTATCGAGTACGTTTCTTCAATCGGGATTGCCATTAAGCCTTACTTAAAACAACGTGGTCGGTCCCACGAATGAATTATGTCCTCCTACTTTTCATCAAATTCAAACTCTCCGTCGGAATATCTTTTCACTTTTTTTATCCATTTAATTTAACTCTCCAGTACATTTGAAGAAATATGTATAAAAAAAATAATTTTTTTTTGCAACAGGATATCTTTTCATCTTTGTTTGTAATGTGATGCCTTAATTTGATAAAAATGTGTACCTTACACTCTTTTCAATTATTTTTTACAAAAAGAAATATATCTGAATAAATTTAAAAATGTCATTGTATTAATATGGAAGATTAAGTTATACCAGGGTGATAACTTAAAAAATGTTAATGACAATTTTTTATTAAAAAAAGTGTTCCCTTTTTATCCCAAATTATTAGATAATTTGATATAGATTATGCATATTAATAATTTATATTAACACTTTACAAATTATTTCTTCAAAATAAAAGTACTTTCTTTATTTTAAATTATAAAACAATTACAATAAGCTTGCGCATATACTAAAACACAATAATAATATTTTAGCAACTTACTTTTTTAAAATAAAATTATAATTTTTTAAAAATATTCTTACACTATTAATCATTACACTATAATATTATTAATTTTTTTACTTGAAAAGTAATATTGAAAAAGCATCCTTGAAGTTTTAGTTTTCTAAAATTATTTTATATTTTTACATAAAATATACTTATAATGTTTTATTATTTGGGCCAAAAGGAGTGTGAATTTTTAAAAAATATCATTGATTCAATATAACTTTAAAACTATAATTATTTTAATTCTCATACCACTTAAAACGTAATATTTAAAAATATTATTAATAAAATTTATTTTTATCTAATTATCTTATATTTTTTAAAAAAAAATGTAAGACAATTTTTAATAGTTAATGTTTAAAAATAAAAATATTTTTAATTTTAAAGTATAATTATTTTTTTTTACAAAAGTGATATAATTATTTTATTTTATTTAAAATAAAACATTTTGTCAAATAAAAAATATAAAAAAAAAAATAAATTAATTTAAAAATATAATAATTATTTATTAAAAGATATAATTTAATTAAAAATATTTATTTTTTAATTTAGGAAGTATTTTAAAATAACAAATTTTCTTAAAAGTTGACAGGGGAGCATCATTCCATGCGTCTTTTATTTTTTTCCCCTTACCTCTTTTTTTGTGGGCGCACTTTTCCACAATGAGCCAGTGGACAGCACATAGGTGCCTCGTTTGACAAATCTACCATTCATGTCTTGCGCTCTGTCACCGTCCAACTTCCTATTCAAGGATTTTGTTTCAGCGCCAAATCTAAATATTATTTTATTTTTCACTTTTAAGAATTTTTTATTTTCTAGTCTGAGCATAAGCGGTCCTTTCTCTTTACACACATTGAAAATATATCTGTCAGTATCTGTGATAAATCACCTGGATTCCAGATATTGTCACCCTGAGTCTCAAAATTATTATATTTATCGACAAAATTTAATAATAACATTTTATAAATTTTTAAAATAAAAATATAAATTTTAGAAATATTTTTATGAAATATAATTATATTTCCAATTACTTCCAATTCTTTCTCCACTTAATAATTTAAAAAATTATTATTTATAAAATTTTATTTTTATTAAATTGTCTCATATTCTGAGATAATAAATTTCTATGACATTGTTATATAAATTTGAGACAAAGAGAGTATTTTGTAAAAAGAATAAATTATTATTTTTATTTTAAATAAGATATAATTTAGTCATTTAACATAAAATTATTAATGTTAAAAAGGTACCTTGAAACTTTAAAAAAATTAAATTAAATCATTTTAAGATACCTGATTATTATTTACATATTTTAAAGAGATTTTATTATCAGTTTTTTACTTATATATATTAGTTATATGTTGATATATATATATATATATATATATATATTGTTTTTTCCTAAAGATAGTATATGGTCTGTGATCTCAAACCCCTGATTGTAATGCTTGGCTCTACCCTTGGTAATACTCTCAAGTTCTTCATCGTGATTACATTGTATGAATAAACTTTTACAACCAATTTTTCAAGATTTTTGCCACGATATAACCATCATTCTTTTTTTTGGGGGAAATTTCCCGTCATTTTCTTTTTAAGATCCTTATAATGTGGCACATTATGGACCAACGGATTTATGAATATAAATTAATTTTTTATTTATTTTATTGCAGTTAAACTATGTAGATTAAATTTTAATAGTTTATTTATTTTTTAATATAATATTATGATGATTGTTTAAAAAATAAAAAATCTGAACCCTTTAGTTTTTAACCAAAGGTAAGGAGCGAGAGATGAGGAGAAGCGAGAAGGAGAGGCGGGAAGAGGGACGTCGGGGGCTTGTTTGAAAATTTATTCTAACAAACAGTGTTTTTTTTTTTAAATGAGAGAATAAAAAAATTTATTTAGCAAATTTTTTTTAAAATGTTTTCCTAAAACAAAAAAATAAAATATTATTCTAAATAATAAAAATTAAAAATAAATTTTAAATATTTTGAAATTATTGTTATGAAAAATAAAAAGAATGAAAAAACACATATTGTTATTATTTTTTTATTTCAAAATATATTTTATAAAGATTAATTTTTAAATAATAAAATAAAAATAATTTCAATAGCTCTTTAAATCTCTCCCCTGCAAGAAAAGAAAAGTAAAAAATTAATACAAATTTAAATTGTTAAATTAAATTTAAAAATTTAAATTTAATAATTTTTAAAAATATAATTTAATTTAAACTATTCACATTTATAGTGAAGAGTAAGGTTAAAAAACAGAGAAAAGAAACCCACCCCGGATATGCAATACTAGTGCTTCTGCCTTGTTCAGTGTCATGTCACATTTCAGTTTCTTTTTTTTTTTTTTTTACAAAGATGTCTTTCAATTTTCACAAACGGTCTTCAGGCTTTAACTCAAGCAACGTGGCCCCCCCTCAAAAAAAAAAAAAAAAAACCAAGAAGAGGCGTTAACTAAGTGGTCCCCACATGGATCAATTATTGTACTGAAAAAATAAGTGTTATTAATGATTTTTTTTAATATTATTCTTTTAAATGGGAAAAAATTAAAATAATATATAATATAATAATTATGTGTATATATAAATTTTTTAAAATTAATAGTTTGTTTTGAAAAAATAAATTTATAA